TTTGCCCACCAGCGGCCGAGCGGTAAAGACGCTGAACACTGGTAGTTCGGTCCGAGGTTCGAATCCCGTGAACGGGCTGGTTGCATGGGCGTTTTCGCCATGTGTAACGTGTATACGAGCCAGTTTCCCTTAGAAAATCCTCCACGAAGACATCCCTCCCTTTAAGCAGATAGCCCTCGTGAGCTTTGCCATAATTGAATAACCCAACCCATAATTATCAAATCGCAGTGAATAATAATAATATATTCCCTCCAAAGTAAAGTAATTACAGGGTTCGTACACATTTCTGCACAGGGAAATCAAGTACTTTTAAGGACTTTTAATGACCATTAATGAAAAAATTAAGGACCTATGAGCAAATAACAAATTAATAAATTCAATTAAAAATATTATCTATGCCTGAATTTCACTCATGTAATACCCTCCAAAAAATAAAATAGATCAGTAATTAGGATGCATTCTTATTAAACATAACTTAATTAACATAATAAGTTTGAGGATAAACTATACTTTACGAAATTTATCAAATAGCATTAAATATTTTACACTCATGATAGCTCGGCATATTTGAAAGAAGATAAGTGACATTTTATTTACGTTTTACTAATAGTTAGTTTAATGTTGATTTTTTTTTTTTTTTTTTTTCTATGTCTCATTACTTGCTCAATCTATAGGTTTAGTAAATAGTAGGTAGATGTTATGTCAAGCGTCATAGGTTAAAATAAGAAGTAAAATCATAATTAGAATGATTTATAACAAAAGACTGACTGTTGTCACCGCTGCTCCTTGCCTAGAGAGAGACCTGCTGATCAGAACAAAACTGAAAGGCCTGATGTGAGCCCAGTTGGCAAGTTTTAAAAGTTAGTTGGACTCTGTCTGTTGGTGTCGTAGCTCCGTGTAGAGTTCCAGGGGTTGTAACCCAGTTAATGTACTTTAAGGTTCCAATAAGCCACTAAAACACCAGAGGTGACACTAAGTTGTTTTGTATTATTTAGGTCTCATTAAATATGAAGAGTTTTACATGAATTTTTACATTTTTGTGTTTTATCTTGTACCACGCTAAGGATTAATGAAAGGCAATAACTCACTTTAATATGCAGATATAATTTTTAAGGGTAAGCAGTTAATTATAAATAAATAAATTAGGTAGTTAGATAACCTCAGTCATTATGGATTGTCTCAATCTCACTAGTTTCTGCGTGCTTTATCTCCTAACTTGTCAACTTCTCTACAATGTACCTATGAAGGTTTACTTGATCTGGTAAGAGTTTAGTCCAAATACCCCCGACAACATGAAGCAAGTTATCGCTATGTCTCAAAGTAACTACAAAGTCAGACAAAGGTTTAAATAAACCATGTCTTTAAGTTCTTTTATTTAAAAAGAACTTAAAGGCATGTTCTTATGCTAACTAAATCAATTGCAGTTTGTGGTGATGTAATTAAACAAGAACAGTCAAAGTCAAATAAAAAAATGTGGACTAGTGGTCAAAGGCTATACAATTTAATTTTAATTTAAGCTGGCTCAGTTACTCTATCGTCATAACAAATTCAAATGTCAGCAGCGATAATGCAAAGACAAAAAGTTACAAATTATCAGAGCTGGTAGGAACTAATGCAGCGAGCAAGCGGAGATTAAAATCACATTCTGTCTTACACACCAAAACCTTCAGTTTAAAAACTGTCTAAGTGATTTGCATTCTGAGGAGGAAATAGAAACGGGAAATTATAGTGAAGGCTGAAATTATAAACAACTGGGTAATTTACAAAATAATACCCGTATATATATTTAAAGAATAATTTTCTTTTTCTGTATGTATTCGGTTTCTTTCTTCAATTCGCTTCCTTTTCATTTTAGAATTTTTGGATTTAATTAAAGATTTCTGTTATTCTAAAAAACTAAGAAATTATGTATAGAAAGAATGTATAGAAAAAGCTGCTAATTTTATTTCTTTGGTAATATGAACAATCAAAAGAAATATAAAATATATATGGTAAGGGCCAGTTGCAGAGCTGGTGTGACATAATTTTTAGAATTTAGTGACACACCGAGCAACAAAATCCTGAAATGGCAAAACTTAAAATTTAGAGCAGGCACTGGAAGCAGAATTTAGAAAGGCACTAGTCAGCAAAATTTAGAATCTACAGACATAAGTTTAATATTCCATGTGATTGCACCAGGTGGGAAAATGCCTAACGTGAGACCTGTGTATGATGCATTAAGATATATTAGTTGAATCTTTTAAATTGCCAGTTTTCAATTTCTTAATTAATCAAAAAATTCCAGTCTATAATACCTGTCCATGTGATACGATTAGAAGCATTTTTAATATTTTCCATGTTTGTTTCTAGTATAAAAGTTAAGTATAAAATAAAGGGAAGATAAACATGTTAAGAAAAAGATTCTAGTATCAGAAATAAAACACTCAAATATTATGTTTTCATTGATCTTCCAGATGTTCTCCAAAAAGTAAGAAATTCATTGCAAACTTTCTCTAAAATACATCCATTACGTGATAATACCGTAGAGACATTTTTCATTTTGTCACATTTTTTAGAATCTTCTGGAAACGTGGAATAAATCTTGCCTTCAAATCCTTCTAAATTTTCCAAGTTGCATCCTTCAACTTGCAATGTCTTATGTCCTGAAGGAAAATTACCCCTACCAATTTTGTAACAGCAAACAGCCAGAAATATTTTGAAAAAAAAAAAAAAAAACGACGAAAAAGTGTGAAATTAAATTTATAGAGAAGATTGATGCACATTCTGAGACAATTACATGAGAAAACTCTTATCATAAAAAATTAAAAAGAAGAATTTTTAATTAATATGTTATTTTTTTTAAATATAAATTCATATATTACCATTATTTTAATGATATTTATCAATGCTACAATGTTTAAAAAAATCGTCGAAAAATTCCCAGTTCTCGGAATTAAAAATTTTCTATAGAAACTGATCTTAAAAATAGAGAAAATGTTAATAAGTCGCGAAATTTATAGCCTTTAAATAAAAGAAATCACATCCGCAAAAGCGGAAAGTTGTTTAAGAGATCTTCATTAGAAAAAGTGAAATAATGTCGAAATACTTGTTTCACTTCTTGCTCAGAGACTCGAAAATCCTACCATTTATATTAGAAATAGGAACAAATCATAATCCATTGAAATAACCATATTTATCAGTGAATCGCAAAAAATATACCTCCAAATTGCTAAATCACACTCAAAATGGTAGTCATAAAAACAGACAGAAATTTCACATGATTAAAATTAAGGACCTTCTGCCGATTTTGGTCGAAATTAAAAACTTTTAAGGACCAAAAATCGATTCCAAAAAACTTAAGGACTTTTAAGGACTCTTAAGGACCGTACAAACCCTGAATTAGATATTGCACTACATAACTGCATCAAAAGTCTTCATAATTTGTAAACGCTTCGAATCCTCTCGCTCGATTAAGTGTAACTATAATACTTTATTTTTGAAATTTTCTTTCTTTTTAACCCAAAAGGGACGCTAGTCCCGAGTGAGATATTATTCTTGAAATGGCATTTTTGCATCGAAACACTTAAATGCGTTGCATCCCTTTTAAAATTGTTTCCAACAAATATTATCGCCCTGTATTATATTTAAAAAATTAAATAACGAAGAATCTGCATTAATGTATACATTTTAACTTTGAACAGGTAAGTGAAAAGTTTGAATATGAATGTTATAGTCGGATACTAAGAACCCATAAATACTGTCACAGTTTTGCAAATTTATTTCAAACATTTACTTTTTTATAATTTTTATAGAACTAAATGATTTAATTTTAACATGAAATATATCTATGTAATAAAAACAAAGTCAGAAGTAACTGAAGAACAAGAGGAATTTTGATGGCGTAGAAATGTTGATCCATAATGACTAGGAAATTGGAGGCGAAGGCAGATCAAATCTTAAGTTTTATTTTCAGCAACATGTTGCGGCTACACACAAGTCGGCACATTAAATGTACCTGTTCCAAAAGGCTTACATTTTTTATAACTTTGTAGAAAGAAAGCAGCAGCAGACTGACAGCAGTCTAGCTAGGCCAAAACGTGGAAAGCAGAAATCTTAAGTCAAACTGAGTTAGTTTTGATTTACAAAGCATTTTGATTGGATAGTTAATTAGAGGTTGCTTGTTCACATAGAGCAAAGCCGTCCTATTTTTTATATTTTATATCCAAATTTTTCACGTTGGGAAAAAAAGGGTACCTTGAGCAATCAAATTTTGAATAACTTAGTCCACCACCCGAATATGGTCACCTGGAAGACCGAATATTGAATTTCGTGTTTGTTTTATTATCTTTTCGTATTTTGTAAAACTTTAAACGAATTTTTGATTAACAAACTCAATGATTTCACAGCGAACAGTGGCAAGACGGTTCGGAATAAAACACTTTAATTTCCAGGTTGCGAGACTCTCTATGGGAAATTCTAAAGATATGCTGTTTTTAAATAATTTGTGATTTTGCTGCTGAATCATATTTTCTCTAGCATAAGCTCCAAGACCGTGATATTTAATAAATGAAGTAAACACACAGTACGTTAATAAAGACAAAAAAATTTTTAAAGCCATCTTAGTAAGAAAATTAAACGTCCATATGATGAACTTAGAAAAGATAGAAGAACAAAGTATGCCAAAGCATAACGCTACATCGGGAATTCTAAACACATACTGCTTTTAAAATTTTTGTAATTTTGTTGTTGAATTGTATGTGGCGTAAGTGCGAAGAAAATTATACTTCATAATAAAGTAAAAAAAAAAAAAAAAAAGAGAGAGAGAGAGAGAGAGAATGGGTTATTAGGAGTGAGTGTAACAACAGATTGGTAGAGTAGCTCAGCGAGAACGTAAAAAACCCTTTTAGGCGACAGTTAATCCTTTCAGATTTTTTTAACATTATTTTATACTTTAAACATGTTAATTCAACGCTTATTTTTTTCCCCCAAATCGTAAATCGAATAAAATTACAATTCACTTACTTCCCGTAAACTGAGGCATTCTGTTGATCTTCAGAACTGGAGTGAGTGCATAGAACTCTGAAAAGAAAATAGAGTTGGGAGTCTATGTAATAGCTATATAATTACCCGTAAAAAAGAAAAAAAAAACGCGTGATAGATAACAGAACAAAGAGACTAATTTTTAAATATATTATCTAATATTTACAACAAGTAATAAATATTTGAAATGGCTAATATTTGCAAAGCCACGATAAACACCAAAATACATATCAACAGTTGATAAGAAAGTGTAATTTTCGCTTTGTTTTAAAGTTTTTCCTGTGCTCTTTTTTTTTTTTTTTTTTCTGACTGTTAAAGAAAGGCGTGACACTTGCGTGAAATAAATTTTAACGTAAACGTCGCGATCTTATCTATTACATCCTCTGTTCTCAGGTTCGGCGAATAAATCATTTTTCAGTTTTCACCCATTTTCAAACTCAAATTTGAACTGCAGCAATAAAAATCTATGTTAAAATATTTCGATGAATTTTGTTATCAAAATAATTAACTTTATCTAAGTCGTTAAGAGAATAGTAATTTGCTAATTACAACTTAACTGTACACTGCGCCTTTTTTTGCGCAGGGAAGGGGGCAGTTCTATATCTCCGGTTCTACTGGACCAATTGACAAAATTGAAATTACGTTTTTCATGTCTCGAAAGCACGACTTGGGATATATATTAGATTTATATATAACACTGTTCTAATATAGGTATTTTGACACAAAATCGGACTTTTTCTAAAATGACATGCCAATTTTTTTACATATTTCGATTCTACGAATCAAGTTATGCATAACTCTTATATTTTCTAAAATTTGATGAAAAATTTACGGAGGAGCTCGAAACTTTTTCTTGGCGAATTTTTTTCAGTTTTCGCCAAGAATAATTTACTTGGCGAACTTCTTAATTCATAGCAACCTGTTTTCCTTTTCTTTTTTCATTGTAGACGAGTGGAAAAAAAAGTCATCGTTAATTATTTCAAATGCTTTTAATCCTTTGGAGTTATTATCGCTCAAAAAAGATGCCATATTTCAAAACGCTCACATGTAAATTCTTGTACATCTTAGAAAATTTTGAATAAAAAAAATTCAAATTTTTTCAGGTGTGCCTAGAAATACATCTACTAAAAGATATTAAAAATTTTATGGTTTATAACAAAAAAAAAATTTTCGAAAAACTTATAAAAAGTATTTAAAAAATAAATAATAAAAAATGTGCGAATTATATTCGGATTAAGAGTAAATTTCGAATTTTGGGAGAAGGAATCAAGTTAGTTTGATAAAAAAAAAAAAAGATATTAATAAATATACAGTGTCTCACAAAAGTGATGGGACACTTGTGCTTTACAGAAGGAAACTGTAATAAAATAAATTAAAAAAACATGTAAAAGGTTTTTGTGGGTGTGTTTCATACTTAAATTTAGTAACAATTATTACATAACATACATTTTCTCAAAATATTAATTTAATAAAAATAAAATTGTTTAGAACGAAGCAAAAAATGGCTCACATAAGTGATGGGACACCATTAGATACTACTACGTATTACAATAAAAATATTTTTAGGGGTTTTTATTTTTACTCAAAAGCAACTAGCAATAATTTATAAAATCGTCTGCAGTATTTCTCTCCAGTTTGTTTTGGAATTTTTGTGTTTTTTAGCTCTGTGCAACCATGAATGCTAAACGAAAAGAAACTGCCTGAAGTTCGAAAATTAGTTATTAATTTGCATATTGAACGTGGAAAATCTATAAGAAAAACTGCTGAAACAGTTAACTTAAGTCATTCAACAGTTTTCAAGATCATTAAACGATATAAAAAGAATCATATGATTCAGGATAAAAGAAGACCTGGCCGACCATCAAAGCTATCCAATGGAATAAAGGGAATTATCTATCGAAATATTAAAAAAATTCCAAGAATGAGTGCTCCTAAAGTTGCTGCTGATTTACAAGCATTATATGGAGTAATCGTTAATCCTGAGACTATTAGAAGAGTAATTCGATCTGCTGAATATCACGGTAGAGCAGTCGGGAAAAAATTCTTCGTAAGTGAAAAGAATAGAAACCTCAGACTGACTTTCGCAAAATCCAACATAAATAAAATTCTGATTACTGGAATGAAGTTATATTTGCTGATGAGAGTAAATTTAATATATTTGGTTCTGACGGTAGAATCTTGGTGTGGAGAAAACCCAGGGAAGAATTTCGTAAACAGAACTTTGTGCCAACAGTAAAACATGGTGAGGAGGAGTTATGGTATAGGGGTGTATGTCGTCCGCTTGAGTAGGTAATCTTGTTTTTATTGACAGTACAATGGATCGGTATAAGTATATTGACATTTTAAATCAAAATTTGAAATCTTCAGCACGAAAATTGAACCTTCATAACGATTTTAAATTCTACCAGGACAATGACCACAAGCACATTGCTTTGAACGTTAGACTCTGGCTGCTGTATAACTATCCTGAAATAATAAAAACACCACCACAATCTCCAGACTTAAATACCATAGAGAATATTTGGCAAGAATTGGAATCAAGAATTCGCAAACACACCATTTCTTCAAAACAACAATTAAAATCGGTGCTTCAAGAAGAATGGGGTAAAATCACTCCAGAATTCACAAAAAAAAAAATTAGTCGAATCCATTCCAAGAAGATTAAATCATGTTTTAAAAGTAAAAGGAAATCCAACAAAATATTAAAACCTTTTAAAAAGTAAAATTTTTGGATAAATATTTGATGGAAAAGTAAGTGTCCCATCACTTATGTGAGCCATTTTTTGCTCCGTTCTAAACAATTATATTTTTATTAAATTAATATTTTAATATTTTGAGAAAATGTATGTTATGTAATAATTGTTACTAAATTTGAGTATGAAACACACCCACAAAAAATTTTTACATGTTTTCTTAATTTATTTTACTACAGTTTCCTTTTGTAAAGCACAAGTGTCCCATCACTTTTGTGAGACACTATATATCAAATTCAATTGACATTGAGGAGCTAAAATTTTGAGAGCTAATTAAAAAAAAAAAAAAAAAAAAATGCTCGTGCGATTTTTACAAAACTTCGAAGTTTGGCATAATTTGAGTCGTAGAATCGAAATATAGGAAAACAACTGGCATCTCATTTAAGAAAAAATCCGATTTTGTGTCAAAATAGCTATATTATAACAATGCTATATATAAATCTAATACATATCCTAAGTCGCGCTTTCGAGACATGGAAAACTCAATTTGAATTTTATCAATCAGCCCAGTAGAATGGGAGATACAGAACTTTTTCCCCCCCTCCCGTAGTGGACATAATTGTTGTATTAAGAAACAATGCGCTTAGTTTATTATCAAATCTTCTGTAAGAATTTAATTTTGAATATGCTAAATAACTGAGAATTTTACATTCAACGTGGAAACTTTGTCAGTTTCTAAAAGGCACAGGGTTATACAGAAATGAGTGATTTCATTTTTAATAATCCTAATTCTACGGTAACTGCTTTTTAAAACATTCCTTCAAAATGAAATTTTTAAATTTAGAAATGATAGTAAAAGAGGATTAAGAATCACTGCGACTGTAAATATAAATCTTTGAGAAAATACCAGCTGCACAACATAAGGCATTTTATATTGTATAATTTGTTTTAATAATTTAGTTAGTTTGGTTTATTTGATTATAGCAAGGCAAGCGAGAACCTACATTTACCTAAGAGGAGAATTTTCTGAACGAAAGTGTCTCGCAGCGGCATTACACGGGAAAAATCACTAAAACGCCCATGCAACCAGACCGTTCGCCTGGAATTGAACACAGGCCGAACTACCAGTGTTCAGTGAATTTACCGTTCAGCTGCTGGTGGGTTCTATACTTCAATCCTTAATCACTATTCATTATGTTTCGTCGACACTGAGAAACCATTCACCAAATTTTAGAGCATTCGTGGGTGATATAAAGAGTTCGAGGGAATAACTTTCAAAACTAAGTTCTCCCTCGACGTTGGTTCTATCGCATTGATCACATTAATTCAGCTAACATGGCTTCAAAATTTTGGCTTTCAAAAGCAACTTTGTATCCTTTCTGAAAAAATTACTTCTTATATTTTGTTCATCACAAGTATGTTGCAAACACAAAATTTCTTTATTCCTCAGAAATATCATCATCGTTTAAACAGGATAATGTTTTTTTCTCTTTTTAATTACTTCATTTATTTATATCTAATTTTGTTTTAAATGTGAAGTAATTCTGTAATGGTTATATCGATGTAGGAATTTGAAAAATGTGCAATGCCATCGCCGGGATTCAAACTCCGGACCTCCGAATACGCGTCGAAGGAGGGAGAAAATACCTTATATACTCCTCCTTTTAAAGAACGACTGTGTATGAGGGAAGCTAATAGCCAAACACTCGTAATGAGAAATAATCATCTACTATATTTTTAGTTCGAGCGCCACATTTAGAGTCTTCTAGAATTTTCTTCTTCTTAAGAAATTGAAGAAATCTACAATGTGCTTACCGGAATTCGAACCTTCCGAATACGCGTCGAGAATGTTTCTAGTTACACAAGAAGACATGCGGAAAAAGTGGGAGAAAAGATCTTGCAATGCCTTTGTCCATTAGTTGCAGGAAGAAAGCATTTGCAAGTAACAAATCACAATATTCTGATTTCTTAGATTCAGGCAATGAGCCGAGAAGGATGAACAAAAGCGCTTTTTTCCTAGCATTTTTATCTCAGTATCAAATAAATTAAGCCTCCGTTTTTCCTACATTATTTATCATATACGACATTGGAATTTGTCCAACAATGGATAAAGAGACATTAAAACTTTTAAAGCTTCACAAAGGTTTTATTACTGCATCCAAATCTGCGGCGGTTTTTCGCCCACTGTTTGAAAGCTACTGATGAAACAAATAATTGAAATTAACAAAGTGTAAAATAAAAGTAATTGCAAAGTATTGCTTTTATAATGAAAAATAAATTGTCTGGGTACTTTTCCGTTTCGCCGGCACAAATCCCGCCGAGCAAACTTTGTTCGCGACAACATAC